AGTGGAACACTTCATTAACGTGTGTGAGGGCCGGGGTTTGTTCCCCAGCATCAAAAAATAAAAGTACAACAGAACCCCAAAAATCTATAACCAGTTTAAGGTATCTATTTTGGACAAGTGAGATATTATCAAGCCTTTATTCGAGTCTAGACTTCTCCTTTCTTTTTGCCCAAGAGACTACATCATGGCCTTCTTGGGACAGAAATTGTGTTTAATATTGAACTGGCTCTTGGCTTGTGGATCATTCAGAAATTAGGGTGCATAGCCAAAGAGCTAAATACCCGAGAGTAGCTGAGGATCATTGTTTTAATGTCAAAGCATTTCCACCAGGTCATCATCGAAGGACAGTGCTACTGCAGTATGAAAATGAGGTGTTTAGTACTTGTTCTAATGAAAGCCTGATAAAAACTTCCTCACTTCTATTTGAACCTGCTTTACTGTGCGATTCAGTGTATTAGACACCTACCATTCCAGTCCCATTGTTGAATTTGTCGCATTCTGATACTGTTCCAGTGAATTTTGTTGTCTGGTCAACATAAAAAAATTACCAACATGCAGTTCTGATCAGAGCGAATAATGAAACCAAATGTTTGACTTCCAGGAGAAGAGTTTCAACATCAAATTATTTTGGATGGTTTTTGAGATTAAGACTGAGTTTAGAAAAAAGAAATTTTCTAAAGCTGTTGGAGAGTTTTCTCCTGCCTGTCTTTGCTCTTTCTCTCTTACCTATGCTCTTCATAGGGAATAATATCTGACATCAAAATAAACGTGGCTGTCAGAAAGTATGAGAAAGGGGAAGATTAACGAGACTGGCTGGAGATGCTCTTGTGGAGTTAGTGGGATTTGGACAGCACCCAGAAGGCAGCAGCATTTGCTTAGGGAGAAAGGAGAGAGGGGCTCCAGAATGGATTAAGAACTGGCTTTGCACAGGGGGTCTGGGGAGCATACCTTGTCTGAGGTGGAATCACATGGGAAGAGAAAAGTTGAAAAAGTTGAAATATTCAGGCAAACCACTGGCAGTAGAGTTGGTCTTTATCCCGGAGACATGGCTACCATGGGAGTAAGCCAGATTGTGTAGGGGTCTTGGAAGACTGAGGTAGCAGAAGTTATAGAATCAGTTGGCTGGAAATATATGAAAAAAATGTTCAAATATCTAGCAATTAGAGAAATGCAAATCAAAGCTACACTGTGATTTCATCTCATGCTAGTCAGAATAGCGATTATCAAGAATACACGCATGGTGACACACACCAACACAGTGGCACAGTGGTTCAGGAAGCTGAGGCAAGAGTATCATGAGTTCAAAGCCAGCCTCAGCAAAAGCAAGGCCCTAAGCAGCTCAGAGAGACCCTGTTTCTAAATAAATATAAAATAGGGCTGGGGATGTGAGTGCCCCTGCGTTTAATCCCTGGTATCAAAAAAAAAAAAAGGAATGCAAGTAACAACAAATGTTGGCAAGGATGTGAGGGAAAAGGTACCCTCCTGCATTACTGGTGGGACTGTAAATTGGTGCAACCACTCTGGAAAGCAGGAGGGAGATTTCTCAGAAAATTCAGAATGGAACTACCTAGTTATCCCACTCCTCAGTACATACCCAGGGGACTTAAAATCAGCATACTACAAGTGACGCAGCCACATCAATGTTTATAGCAGCTCAATTCACAACGGAAACAACCTAGATGCCCTTCAACAGATGAATGGATAAAGAAAACCTGGTGTATATACCCAATGGAATATACTCAGGCGTAAAGGTAGAATGAAATTAAATGCATGGAACTAGAGACTCTCATGCTAAGTGAAATAAGCCAATCCCCCAAAACCAAAGGCCAAAAGTCCCCTCTGATATGTGGATGCTGACTCCCAATGAGAGGGGTGGAGGTAAGAACAGAAGTTCATTTTGGATTAGACAAAAAGGGAATGAAGGGAAAAGAGGGAGAGTGGGAATGGGAAAGACAGGAGAATGAATCAGACATCACTTTCCTGTGTTCACACATGAATATACACCAGTGAAACTCCACACCATGTACTACCAACCACAAGGATGGAAAGTTATACTCCATGTATGTATAATATGTCAAAATACACTCCAATGTCATGTATAACTCAAAAGAACAAATTAATCATAAAATAATTTTTTTAAAAAGATCCATTGGGTGGGCTGGGGAAAGCAGTGAGGACCCCAGAGGAGCTGGAGAATGGGGACAGGTGAGTCCCTGAGAGGCATTCAGAGGGAGCAGAGACAGTCCAGAGCCCAGCTTAGAATTAGGATAAAAGGGGCTTGAGTGCTGGCTTTGCCTCTTGTCCGTGACCTTGGGCCTCTGTTTCTTCATCCCTATGGCCTTGTAAGGACTAAATTGAATATCAAATGGGAAGAGCGTGGCTCGGGGGAGCACTGATAAAAGTGCAGCCATTACCCAGTGCAACAGAAGGGGCCATTGTCTCCTCTGAGGACTCATAAAATGTGCTCTTAGATGTTATTCCGACTCATCTCATCAAGTTTTGTGAAGGCTGCTTCCAGGAAACTCACAACAAGGTGGAGATGATGTCACCAAGGGACAATCTAGGGGCCATTAGAGGCTGGGGAAGGAGATTGAGCTTGGGATACTCAGCAGAAACCACAGAGCTCACTCCTCACACTCAGATCCATCTCTGTAGCCCAGCAGCCCACCCTGGCCCGCCCCATTGGTGAAGGGGAGCGGGCTCTGGCCTGGCTCTGAGGACACAGGTCCCTGGCTGCCTTGTCGGGGAGGGCTCCAGAGGCCGTGAACAGGAGAAAGGCTATCTGTGCGTGACACACAACAGAGCACTTAAGCTTGCCGCAGCCTGGTGCTCTTGTCTATTCCAGAACTTTTTCCATTTACTTCAAAAGCAGTCCGCCTGTGTGATCGGATGCCAGGGTGGGACATATCAGCTCGAAATACAAAGAATCCCTCAGAATGTGCCAGTGTGTGCATGGGGTGTGGGTAGGGGCCGAAAAGGAAATAGAAACAGCATGGAACTTGAAGACTCTCGCTAGAATGTTTCCCAGGTTTGCCCATCTGGCTTTGCTGCCAACAATAATCACAAGGGGACCATCTGACATGGTGTCATCTCCTGTGAAATGAGCTGGGGTGAGGCCGGAATGGTCCCAAGGAGTCGGTGGAAAAAGCATGAGGTGGAGGAGTGGAGAGGACCATGTGCCCTTGGAGAGGATGAGAAAAGTTTCCTTTTTGTTAACCTCCATTTGTAACAGATCCGGCCGGCTCTAAATGTACCTCTAAATGTACCTCCACTTAATCATCACAACAATCCTGTGTAATAGATACTGGCGACATGGTGGCACATACCTATAATCCCAGTGGCTCCAGAGGTTGAGACAGGAGGATCACAAGTTCAAGGTCAGCCTCAGCTACTTCAGGAGGTCCTAGGCAACTTAGATCCTGTCTCAAAAGATAAAAAGGACTGAGGCTGTGGCTCAGTGGTTAACCACCCCTGGGCTCAATCCCCAGTACAGAGAGAAAGAGAGAGAGAAAATGTATATGTGTGGGGGTGGGGGAAATGTTGCCTGATCTTAATAAAACAATCATCAGAAAGGTTCATGATTTTCCTAAGGTCACACAGTCCTCAATGAAAGCTGGACTCAGAGAAATGTCTATCTGGCACCAAAATGCCCACTTCCAATCACTATGCCATTCTTTTTTTTTTTTTAAAGAGAGAGAGAGAGAGAGAGAATTTTAATATTTATTTTTTAGTTTTTTCGGCGGACACAACATCTTTGTTGGTATGTGGTGCTGAGGATCGAACCCGGGCCACATGCATGCCAGGCGAGCGCGCTACCGCTTGAGCCACATCCTCAGCCCTCGCTATGCCATTCACACCACAGCTGCAACCCATGCTTCTCACCCCCACTTTTCATACTGAACCCCAACGCCCTCATATACACCCTCCTATTTAAGGGCATCTCAAACAGATGTCTACGTGTGTCCTCCAAGTCAACCCTCCTGTCGACTCTCTAGTGTCACCCACGGTTTCCTTGCACTCTCAGCTACCCAACTGAGAAACTAAATATTTAGCCATGATCTCCAGTGCATAAGCTCACAAGTAAAAAGAAGGAAAGAAGGAAGGGTCCTGGTCACATCCCCACCACCATCATCGATGCTTTGGTTCTTCATTTCATTTGGAAGGTGGAGGCTGGAACTTCCAGTTGGAAATTCATGAGGGAGTTGAGGGGCACTTTCTTGTCTGAGAGCCCTTTAGGGGCCTCGCCTCCTTGGGGCCCTTTGTAGTAAGAAGGAATAGAGGGCTTTGCATCCCTGGGCCGCCTGCATCCCCAGGCTGTGCCCTGCTGGCTAAACTGGGCACCTGCCGTCACAGGCACCTCAGGAGCAAAGCAGAATGCTGGTTCATGCCCCTGGAATCAGGTGCTGTTGTAAGATGTGCCTCCTCCATTACTGACAGTTCATTTGTCAACAAACTCGTCCTTGTTGAGTGACAAGGATGTTCAAGTGTGTTCTTTTAGAGGAGAGTGTGAAATTATTTTAAAAAGACAAGATATTGCTCATGTAGGGTTTTTGATGAAAATTAGTATAACCAGATCAACAGAATGACATCTGGATATTGCTTTGTCTTACCAGCATTTTCTCTTTGTTAGTGTTTGCTATAAAGGATTACAGTGCCCTCCTTACCTTGTGGGGGCAGAGCCTCCATCACCTTGGATGAGAAAACTGGGTAAAGGAAAGCCAACGCAGGATCCCACCCGCCATGTGAGAATCTCCAAAGACCACCCCCCCACACACACACCTGCAGTGGCAGTAGGGCCCAAGTTCCCACGTTGCTCTGTGAAGCTGCCCCTGTGCAGGATGGAGAGGAGACAGCCCAGGCTCCACGTGGTGCCTGATACAGAGCAGGAACCTTCTGATCACTTTGCCACAGAGGAGGATTTCCCAGGTCTCTTTGAGCCCGGCTGTTTCAAATTGATGAAGACAAGAACTTTCTCACCCCCACCTTCTTTTCTCCTCCAGAACAAGACCAAGAAGGGTCCTTTTCCACCACGGGAGTTATTCAGTCTACAGAAACCTGCGGAAAGTGAATTACTCAACTGAATTTGCAGGTGAGTTCTTTTCTTCCTTTCGTCCTACTTCTCTCCTATTACACTTTCCAATGATCTGTCAAACTATGCTAGAAAGAAATAATCCCCATTTAAAAAAAAAAGGACTGCTATTATTCTCACAAGTTAAAAAGGATAAAATATCTAAAAAAAACAAAAACAAAAACAAAAAACCTCTAGGGCTGGGGTTGTGGCTCAGTGGCAGAGTGCTTTCCTGGGATGTGTGAGGCACTGGGTTCGATCCTCAGCACCACATAAAAATAAATAAAGGTATTGTGTCCAACTACAACTAAAAAAATAATTTAAAAAAAAACTCTAGCCTAATGTGTAACCTGTATGTTTTTTTCTTCTTTCTTCTTTTTTTCTTGTCTCTTTTCCAGCTTCATGTCGTTTTTTGGTGACACTAAGTGCCTTGGTCTGTTTCATGCTGCTATAACAAAATACTACAGACCGAGTCATCTGGGAAGAATGGAAATCTATTTCTCGCAGTTCTGGAAGCCGGGAAGTGCAAGATCAAGGTGCCAGCCTCTGGGTGGAGGGTAGAAGGGCGGCCTGCTCACATGGTGGATGGCAGAAAGGCAAACTACTGAACAATGCATGAAGCCTCTTTTATAAGCACTTTAAACCCATTCACGAGGGAAGGGGCCTTCATGACCTAATCACCCCTTGAAGCCCCCACCTCTCAATGCCTTCCCATGGGCAACAGCAACCACAGAAGCTGGTATTTTGATGGGCCACTGTGTGCGCCTCCTGGAGAGCTCCTAAGTAACCAGCCTTCGGAGTGGAGCTCCTCGGTGCAGGCCTTAAAGGTATTAAGGGAAAAAATACAGACAAAGCAGATTAAAAGTATGCTTCAGGGTCTACTGAAGGCTTCATCTATAAACCACACAGTGTCTCACAGGTCAGACGCCAAATAATGGGTTAGACAATCAGGTGAAACAGTGGTTTCATTTCAAATATGAGGAAACTTGCAGTGAAGCCAAAGGAATTCAGTTAGACACACAGGGGTGAGAGGGCCAGTCTCCCTGCCCCCACCCCCAGTCCCCCATCCCGGGTTGTTCTCCATCCTTCTGCATTTCTGTGACTCTGTGACACAGGCCCAGGGTCCAACTCCGTGGCCAACACCGTGGCCTGACCCCCTCCTCGGAGACCCCCCTGGGTGCTGAAGGTGTGCCGTTGGCTTCCTCAGGCTCTCCGTGGAACCCTGAGGCTGAGTCCCGTCTGCCCGCAGCTGCTGCCGTTTGCATCCCTGGGCACGGAGCTCTGAAACTCGACCCTGGCAAGGACCAGCCCTATCCCCTTGGAGGAAATGGCTGAGCGGCCTCAGCAACAGCAGATGAAAACTTCCTTCCTCTTCATCCAGCTGCAGGCCCCCCCTGCCCGAGCTCTCCCCGCCCAGTCTCCAGCCACTGCAGCCTCCACAGCAGCCCCAGGGGGCCTGGAGGAGGGACACATTTTCCCAAGTCCCAGGACAAACTTCTTGGCAGGCCGGGACCTCAGGCGCACACAGGGCTTAGCTGCTTCTCCTTCAAGCCTGCTGCATGGGGAAGGCCTTGGGACAGTGGAACCAGCTGCTTTCAGTTGCTGTTCACTGAAGAAGGAGGAGGGAAAGCCAAAAGCCCAGGACCTGCACCTCAGATCCCCACATTGTAGGCACTGCCTGGCCCCTGCCTCCAGGAACCGCGCCTGCCCACAGCCCCTGTCATGCAGGCGTGCTAGCCCGGCTCCTATCATGAACGATGGAAGCAGCAGTGCCCCCGTGGGCTGGCAGCACTGGCCTGTCTCTTCTGCGCCCCAGGACCTGTGGGGCATGGACACCCCGGCCAGGAACGCCTGGGGATGCTCGACTCCGCAGGCCACCTGGGCCCATGCTGTGGACAGGGGTGAAAGGGCTGGGCTGAGGAGTGGCGCTGCCACCTACCAGGGGCTCCCACAGAGCTGTGGAGAGGAGGCTGGCACCACGGTTCTGGCAACAAGGGCACAGCTCCATAGATACTGCCCGGCTCTGCAGATCAGCACAAGCTCCCCGGCCCCACCTGCGGCTCCACCTCTCAAGGTAAGAATCTGTGTGAGCCTAAATCCCCAGACTCGAGCTGCTCCTTCAGCAGAGGAGATGGAGACGGGGACAGCCGTGCCCTCTGTGGCTCCCAGTCCTGACCCTGAGTCTCCCTCTGCTGTGGAGGACCTGCCTATGGACAGCAGAGGTGCCCCCCAGCCTCAGCCCTCCCCGGCCTGGTCTGGACTCTTTCCTGGGGGCTCTGCCACCTTCCCAGCCCCTGGCAACCTTCCATTTGGAAAGAGACAATGAATTACTGTTTCCCAAGATCTCTGCCAAAGAAGTGGGGATAAAAGTTGGATAAGGAAATGCCTACGTTATAGGGGAAGACCAGGGGAAGGGCAAGGGTGGACACAGACATGTTGGAGGCCCTCTGAGGTGCCGGCCATCATGCTGGGTGCTTTCTCATAGCTCATTAGTCCTCATCACCACAAGTGCAGTTTTAGACAAGGGAACTGAGATGCGGTCAGGCAAAAGTCCTTTCCCTCCTTCCAAAAAGATAAGGGCAAAAGCAAACCCTGCTTCCGTGGTAGACGTTGGGGACAGTAAGGGAGGCTTCAGTGAGCCGTGGGGGTTTCCAGAACTAGAACACAGCCCGGAACACTGCACATTCTGGGCCCACATCTCCCTCCCATCCTCAGCCCCCACCAAGCGAACATGCCTCCCTGGGCACGAGCCTCCAGTTCCCATCAGGAAAGGCAAAGGCTACTCCGTATGGTCTCCAGGGTCTACTCCAGCTCCCCTGGGCTCTACCTCCCATCGCGGTCCTGCTGCTTTTTGTTAGCATTCTAGTCTCTGCATCTCTAACCCGCCCCCCACCCGCATCATGATGGTGCCAAAGCCCACCCTCTCCACCGAGTTCAGGTGTACAACTCTCAAAATGGGGGTTCCAAGTTTCCAATTATGCCTCCATCTTTTCTTACCCAGCTGCAAGAACATGCTGCTATACTTTGTGCGTGAGTGTGTGTGTTGGGGTTGATGGAATGAGACAGGAAGGGGACTCTTGGTGGTGTACATGGAAGGCTGGCATGGAGGGGGCTCTCAGGGAAGTCAGGGAGTTGGGGAGGGGGATGCCACTTCATCCAGACCCGGTGGCTCTCTGACCTACTCATGCACACCAACACTCCTTCCCCATTTGTCTTTTTAATGGAGGGTCCCGACAGCCACGGTTAAGCATCGGGGAGAAAGATTCCAAATTCTCTCCAGAGGGGAACTCTTGGAAGAAGTGATACTATCACGCTTCCTTGAGAAATAGCTTGCATTCCATCCTCGTTCTTGTATCTCTCATTTCCTACAGGGATTTAGGAGGAACGACACACTCCTGCGTCAGAGTCCCTCTGGATGTGGGGGGGGTCATACAGTAGCTGTCTGTGTACTTTTAATACTGTTTGATGGCTGAAAACTTAATGTTCCCCCCACCCTTCCCTCCCGCCTTAGGGCAAAGGGCGAAGCCTCACAGCTGTTGCCATTCCCTAGGGAGGGGTGCTTTGGGAATTGGTGCAGGAATGTAGAACTTGGCCTTGGTGGCCTCATTTAACCCCCTGTGTAAATGGGCCCCCAGATATTGATTCCACCTACCCTAAGGATTGCAGAATTCCCATTTACAAAGCTAGAAGCCCCAAATCCAAGTCCTAGCCACTGGAGCTCTCTTGAGTCTCAGTTTCTCCATCTTGGAAGCACTGATGATGTACCAGCTCCTAGGTTGCCATGGAGATTTGTGCACTAAAGTGTTGGGGCAGTGAAAGGGACCAGTTGTAGTTCTGTTTTGCAGAAGAGGGGAAGCAAGACCTATGGGACTCCAGCCATGGAGTCAGTGTGAGTATAGTGACTCCAGGGCCTGGTGAAGGAGTAGGGCTCCTTGACCTTGCTGAACTGGTGTGACTCCCTTTGCCATGGGGACAGGAACTGTGAGATGAGTTGCCTCTGTTTCACAAGTCCTTTAAATGCCTTACAACTCTTATGAACCCAGTGACCCGGTCCCACATTAAGTGTTAGCAAAAGTAGAAAAATCAACAAAGATGGTTTTTCCATCTATCCAACCCTGGGCAGATTAAGGTGCCCCCGACACCTGATGTAAAAAATTAATTCATGAGAATTGCACAATAGTTCATGTTTTGGAATCTAGAGCATCAAAATGCTGGTTAAAATATTTTATTGTTGGGCTAAGGCTATAGCTCAGTGGAAAAGTGCTTGCCATGCATTCGTGAGGCACTGAGTTTGATCTCAGCACCATATAAAAATAAATAAAAATACAGTGTGTTCATCTACAACTAAAAAAATACCTAAAAAAATATTTTTAAAAAATATTTTATTGTCAACTATGAAAGCTGAGACCCTTGATTCCTCACCGTGGAAACTTTCAAGAAAATTTTTAAAAAGTGAAAGATTGACTGGGTGCAGTGGCTCACACCTACCTGTAATCCTAGCTCCTAAGAAGGCTGACACAGTGGCTCACACCTACCTGTAATCCTAGCTCCTAAGAAGGCTGACACAGGAGGATCACAAGTTCAAGGCCAAGCTGGGCAACTTAGCAAGACCCTTCTCAAAATTAAAAAAAAAAAAAAATAATAAGGACCGGGGATGTAGCTCCGTGTAGAGTGCCCCTGGGTTCAATCCTCAGTACCAAAAGTGAAAAGTGAAATGTAAGTAAATTTTATTCTATGTGCATACCATAGGATGGAGGTCATTGTGTCAACCTTCTCAACAGAAAGTCTGCATGTAAAGAGTGAATTTTTTTTCTTTGCAGAACTCCAAATGATCAAGCTTAAATCTCTCAGTGTTAAAAACCCATAGGCTCCAGTGTGAAAATTTCTGACTTACATCCTTCCAAGTATCGTAAGGACTGAGTACAGTGCATTAAATCACTTGGTTTTTAATTTATATGATGACCAGCGCCTGGCCTCTCTGCTGTCTCTCACTACCTTTGCATTTGACGAAATCTCCTTAGAAGGTAACCGGCATCCGGGGAGCTGGAGGTCCACACTGCACTCCTCATTTCCCTGGTGGACAGGGTGGGAGAAGCACACACAGGAACAGCAGGTCTAGGGACTGGTTTGGAACAGACACCACCCACTGGCTTTCCAGAAGCAGTGGAGTCTGGGTTTGAAGGACGTGGAGTTCCAGCGCGGGGGTATGCCATCTGAGGCCGTCACATTCCCACGTTGGTCTGTCAATGTGAAATCAGAAGATGTTCCTTGGTCTGGGACCACAGCCTGCCCCAAGGATCCCATGTCCTGCTGCCCCTCTGTGGGAGCCCATGGAACTGTCAACATTTGACTACAATTTGGGACTAAAGATATGAAAATAAGGATAAAAGACACAACTCAAAACAAACAATAAAACCTCTACAATCACTCTGGGAAATTTCCACATATAAAAAAAACTAGGTCTTCATATCTTACATAGTTCATATCTAAAAATAGCAGTGACTTTTGCTCTATAACTGGCTTTAGAAAGTTAGTAATGAATGTATTTTTTAGAATTTTCCTCAAAATGCCATGTTTACAAACCTCACAGGATTTTCACCCATAACTGTAAATTCCCCAGAATTTTACCTCTTAATTTTTTTCTTCCTTCTTCCCTTCCCCTTTCATAACCGATCGACTTTTTCAGTTTTTCTTGCCAGCTTCTGGGAGTGTTCATGGTTTAGAAACCTGAGCAGGACAGGCCAGGAGTTCTTGGAGGTATGTGAGAGAGAGACAAGGATCGTCATTAATCTAATAAATGGAAATGCAGGGTAGGTCTGTTTCCCTAGAAGCAGACCCTGTCCAGCAGACTAGAGAAAAGGTTTTAACTCTCTGTGGCCTGGATTGTTATTCCTTAAAATGAAAACAGTACCTGAAATATTAATCTGTAAAGGACATAAATTTTTGGCAGGAAGTTTTTATTTAGAGTAAAAGTCGTGGGGACTGGGATCCAAGAGATAAAGAAAGGAGCTCTGGTTCTGTCAACTAATGAGCTGTGTGGTCTCTGCCGACGCCTTGAACAAAGCTAGCTGATCTCCCGTGTTCTCTGAGGTCTTCTGAGATCTGACGTCTGGCGGTAACTATGAACGTATGAATCCAGAAAAGGAATGGAATTGTTTAATGAAGTAAAAGGATTAAAGCAATTTCATTTCATCTAACTCTGCTTGTCTCTTAAGATTTATTATTTAGTCAGAGGACTTCACTGCAGGACAGTTCCATACAAGGTGGGCATTCCTTTCTTAACAAGCCCCTGGATTTCAATAGGGAGCTAGAAATTCTGGGGTATGACAGACTCCATGCCCCCTTCCAGTAGTAACACCAAGGCCCATGCAGAATTTTAGGACTAGTACTGCAAACTGCCTGCTCTCCAATTGATAGTTCCTTTTCAGACCAGATTCTAGTTTGAATGATAATAATAATAATAATAATAATTCTCTTCTGTGAGTTGAATGCTGACCTTTGGTCTACTGAAGCCCCAGGAAATGGTCATTTTCTTCCTCTGGGGTAAATACTTCTTTACCCAGGCCTGTTTCACTTTTCTAACCTGCCATAAGTTTAGAAACTGTTCCACTCATAAAATGATAGGCTAGATAATTCTGTATTTAAATCCTTCTCGGTGAGTAGTTCAGAATTTTCCAAAAGAAATTGGAAAAAGAGAGAAAGCACACGCAAACGCTTATGTGTGATTTTAACAGTGATCTAGATAAGTGTGCAGGGAAGCATCCCTTTGAAACGATTCTGGTATTTAGAAAGACAGTATTGATTGGGTTGCAAGGCTTATCTTTACTCCATTTTACGCTGTGTTGGTTTTGACACAGATGTCTTGATTTATTACTTGAATAAATACAGCCTGAGATAGCAGAATGAGTTTCAATTCTCCCTTCTGGTGATTTGCCTTAGTGTTTCCATGGCAACGTTGTGTGCTCCTCTCTCTGTACCCCTTCTTTCCACAGTCACACACAGAAGTCCTGTGGCAATATCAATGTATTGGTGCTGCCCCGAAGGAATCACCGATTTCTCAGCACTTCAATCTACCTATCGGGAGAAGAGAGCAGAGAGTGCATGGAAAACCTTACAGGTGTATGTCTTTGTGGCAGAGTTCCCACACTGGGAACGGAGATGGGGGACTCTGACCCTCCTCTGGACTCAAGGTAGCTGAGGGAGCGCAAGTCCCTTCATTCTGGGCTTGAATTCCATGTCTGTCACATGGAAAGTTTAGACTGTCTTGGTTCTTCCCTTCCTAGTCCATTGATTCCAAGTCAGTTCTTGCCAAACCTTTGGTGCCTG